CAGCGGCTCTATTTTTAAACAAAGCCTTTGAACTGAAGCCAGTCGGAAAGGGAACAGGGTCATCTTTCCAGTCCCCTTGGACAGCGTTTGGAGACGATCAGTCATCGATACGGCACAGGGCTCATCTTCTTTGCTTCAAACAGGGCGGCATACTCACAGCACCCACGTCATCCGGGGCCGAGCAAGAAAGCTAGCTGGGGACCAAGGGAAAATGGTGGGAATTTCTGATATGGAGCAGCAGCAAGGGGTTCAGGCACGCTAGCTGAAGCGAGCGGCAGGGAAACACTGACACTTCCACTGCCACCTCGCAGGCTCGGAGGCCGCACCCGGGCTCCGTGCACGGTCAGATAACACGTCCATGGGCTGCGCTCTGGCTCTGCCCGCAGTTTCAGGAAGATGTCACCACCCAGTCGCGTTCCATCGGTATTTTTAGGTTACCTGCACAACCCTGAGGGCTGCAAAAATGTTAGATTTTGTGTTTTGTTTTCAGTTGATGGCTCGCGGTCCTGCAGTGCGGGGTTGGTTTTGCAGCCCCAAGACTGCAGAGCATGCAGCGCTCTGATCACTGGACCTGGGACATCCTCCCCTCCAAGAAACCTGCACGGAGCAGAGACCAGACTGTGTTTAGGAAGCTCAAAAGCATTGGCTAGCTGGTGCTTGCATTATATGACGTGCTACCTACATGACAAGAATTGTGCAGCTTTGCAACACCTTGTGCAATACCCTGGTGCAAAGGTGACTGCAGTTACAGAGCCCTCCTCTTTGGAGCAGGTAGGCCACGGGGTTCGGGGAGAGCCTCCTCCAGGGACAGACGCCTTCTTTGCATCCCTCACTCAAATTGGCTTTCCCCAAGAGAAAAAGCAGTGTCTGCATCTGTTCGAAGCTCAGCTTCGGTGCAATGCTAACCCAGGCCCAGTGACAGGATGGGGCAGGCTGGGAAAACACTGGGGACCAACCCAACCGCCCCGGCGCCCTCCAAGGGGGCCGGTCAGGAACCGCAGAGCCCAGCTGGGTGGCTGCACAGGTCCAGCCAGCCTGTAGCACGCGCATTTGCGCAAAGTGGAGGGAGAGCAGCCCGCAACACGCTCTCGGTTATGAGCCATCTCGTGGGACCCAACACGGGCTGCACTCTCTCCCTTGCAGACACTGGCGCGCAGCCAGGAGACAAAGGTCTGGAAGCAATCCCAGCCCAAATGTCTTAATTGTTAGGAGAAGGCAAAGGAGACAGTGCTTGGAGAAAAGCAAAGAGCTGGTTAAAAAAAAAAAAAGAAGCAGAACCACCGTCATCTGTGCCCAGCTGGCCCCGCCAGCAGGCACCCAGCCCTCCCCAGAGCGCTGCTTTTCCGTTCGAGTTCTCAGCCCAGAGGCGAAGCCAAGAAAAAAACCCATCTGAAGTTGATCCGATTGGCGGACAACAGTTTCTTGATGAGAGAAGACACTCAAGCCCCTATCGGATCGGATCAGCTTGACAGAGAAGGAACACTTCCAGTTTTTTCTTTCTGGGAAGGGAGAAGAGTCATTTGACTTTTTAATTGTCCAATGCAACTCCGATTCCAAAGCAGAGCCAAGAGACGTGCTTTTTCTTTCCAAAATGCTGCAATTGCAAATACTTCCAGCTGCCCTCAGAACTCTGTAAATTTGGGAAAAAAGCAAAGTATTGCCTGTCTCTGCTTTTAATGCAATTCTCTTAAAAAAAAAAAAACCACACAACAAATACTTCATTAGCTTTCTACCATCCTCCCTTCAATCTATTTTGGGCAGGGAAAAGAAGTGATTTCATCTCTGCAAACGACGTAAGACAGAGCAGGCACCTGCTCTGCAAACAGAATTGTGTGAAAAACAAGGAAGCCCTCAGTGTTCGCAAGCGCCCGCCCCGGGACAGGGTCAGAAACAAAAGACAAACACAGGTGCCTCCCTGGACCGGAGGGTCAGGAAAGGACTTTCTTGAGAACAGCATCCACGCTCTGCAAACACGACAGGCAGCTGCTCAGACAGTTCAGAGTGATGTTAGCCTCCGGGATTGTGAATTTGGCATCCTCCAGCCTGGTGTTTATCACTACTCAGTGATTCCACATCGAGCATGTACAGTTCACATGCTTGAGATTTGTTACCTAACTGCAAATGTTGCAAA